TCTCCTAGACACATACCTAAAGTTTGTGAGACAGAGCTTCAAAATCCTAGCCTCCAAGGAGAAACGTGGTTTCACCCTCTTTAAGACAGACTTATTTGTTTTCTTGGCAGTCCACGGTAAGTTGAAGTCTCTTCTTCAGCACCACAAACCAAAAGCATCTTTTCTTCTTCTGTCACCTTTCTTTGTCCAGCTCTTTGATGTACAGCAAGTAATTGCAAAGACCGTGGCCTGGTGCTCTAATACAATATTAAGTGTCTCTTCTGACATTCATTTTGTGTGGTTCAGAATCAATAATGGGGTTCATAGGGGTATATCCTGTCTCTACACTTTTTCAATCTATAGCCACCATAGGTCATTTATTTGGGAGGCTGGATTTTATGAGAATTGGATGAAGACTCATCAACAACCTGCATTAAACAGATGACACACAATATTGCTTGCTGAAACTGAGGAGGACATGAGGCATTTGCTGCAGAAGATTAAAGACTGTAATCTTCAATATGGATTGAAGCTCAACGTCAAGAAGACAAAGTTCTCACCATTGGTCCAACTGACAGCTGCATGACAGAAGGGAAGGGCTTGAGATTGTTAACAATTTCAGCCTCCTTGGTTCTACAATCAACACCCATGGTACCAGCAGCCAGGACATCACAAGAAGAATTTCAATGGGCAAGTCTGCTGTCAGTGACCTCTCTAGAGTACTGAAGAGCAATCTTGTCAATCAGGAGACTAAGTGCACCTGATCTAGGCTATGGTCTTTGAAGTTACTTGCTATGCATCAGAGAGCTGGACAATGGATAGAAAAAGAATTGATGCCTTTGAGTTGTGGTGCTGAAGAAGAGTATTGAACATACTGTGGACTGCCAGGAGAATAAAAGGGCCTTTTCAGTAAAGGGTGAAACCAAGTTGCTCTCTGGAGGCAAGGACACTTTATTTTATTTAAGTGAAATTTTTATTTTATACTGGTTTGCTTACAAAGTTAATATATATTGTTTTTCACACCGGGTATTTACTGTTTCCTTTACCCACCTCTCCCTCTACGTATCAAATTGTGTGAACCTATGATTAACCATACCCCTTACCCATTCTCATCCTTCTGCTACCACCTTCCCTCCCTTGGATCCTTATACATATTCTACAATAATGGTTTTATATAGTATTTGTCATTATGGGAATGAGTTACTTCACTCAGCATAATGCTCTCCAGTCCTTCTCAAGTTAGTGATTTATAAAATCATTGCTCCTAAGTACTGTGTGGTATTTCATTGTACCATAATTTCTCAACCCATTAGATTGTGTTTGGACATTTGGGCTATTTCCATGTTCTTGCAATGGTGAATAACACTGCTATGAACATTGGAGTACCAGTCTCCATTTGTACCTCAGTTCTCATTTTCTTGGGATATATTCAAAGCAGTGGAATAGCTGGGTCTTTTGGAATTTCTGTGTTCAGTTTTTGAGAAAATACCAAACTGCCTTCCAGAGAGGTTGTACTATTTTACAATCCCACCAACAGTGTATGAGAGTTCCTATCTCACCACATCCTTTCTAACATTGATTACTTGCTGTTCTGTTAAACTTTGCCACTGCTACTGGAGTTAGATGGTATCTCTTTGTGGTTTTGATTTGCATCTCTCTTACTGCCAGTGATTTTGAGCATTTTTTCATGTGTCTGTTGGCCATATGAATATCTTCCTCTGTGAAATGTCTTTCCATGTCTTTTTGGAGGCAAGGATTTTGAAGCTTCATCTCACATACTTTGGGCAGATGATCAGGAGAGACCAATCCTTTGAAAAGGAGTTGAGGGACAATGCAGGAGAGGAAGACCCAGGATGAGATAGATTGGCTCAGTGTCTGGAGAAATTGGATTAGGTCTGTTGATGACAATGAAATTGACTCGGGATAGGACAGAGTTCAGAGCTATTATGTATAGTGTTGCTATGAGTCGGAGATGACTCAATGACACATAACAGCAACAGCAACATGATACCTTGGGATTATCATAGTGAACTAGGCAAATTGAAGAATTGGTTTGGAATTCAGGATAGTGAATGAGTTGTTGTTATGTACAATTGAGTCAACTGTGGCTCATACCAACACTATATACAATAGCTCTGAACCAACATTGTGTTTCATGCATATGTTGTTGTTATGTGCTCCTGAGTCACCTACGACTCATAGTGACCCTTTGTACAAGAGTACTGAACCCTGCCCTATCCTGTGCCAATCTTATTGTCTCCAACACACCCAGCCCGATTACCCCAGTCACTTAATCAATCCATCTCATAGAGGGTCATCCTATTCTGCACTGTCCCTCCACTCTCTCAAGCATGGGGTCCCTCTCCAAGGACTGATGCCACCTTGCAACATGTCCAAAGTATATCAGGTGGAGCATCAGAATCCTTGCCTCCAAGGAGCAACCTGGCTTCACCCACTCCAGAATGAACTTGTTTGTTCTCCTAGCTGTCCATGGTATATTCAGTACTCTTCTCCAGCACCAAAGCTCAAAGGCATCAACTCTCCTTCTACCATCCCTAGTCGTTACCCAGCTTTCTGATGCATAGCAGGTAATCACAAAGACCATAGCCTGTATCAGGCACACCTTAGTCTCCAGACTTACATCATTGCTCTTCAGTACTTTGGAGAGGTCTCTGACAGCAGACTTTCCTAATGCAATTCGTCTTTTAATTTCATGGCTGCTGGTACCAACAGTGTTGATTGTAGAGCCAAGCTAACTGAAGCTGTCAGCAATCTCAATCTCTTCATCCTTCATGATGCTGCCAATCTACCCAATGGTGAGAATCTTTGTTTTCTTGTTGAGCTTCAATCCATATTGAAGGCTGTAGTTTTTCACCTTCTGCAGCAAGCATGTCAGGTCCTCCTCAGTTTCAGCAAGCAGGACTGTGTCATCTGCATAAATATGCTTTGTGTTTTATACAATCTTTCATTTACATTTACTCTGAGTAAGTATTTCATCCATATGTTTATGGAAATCTTTCATGTGTTACAATTATCTTACTAATAACTACATTTGTGAAAGCATGTAAGTCAGCTGCTTCATGCCTCGTGCCTTAATAGCCCCATTTTAAATAGCTAGTTTCTGATTTGCCCATCCTATCAAAGGAGCTCTGGTGGCCTAGTGGTACGAAACTGTACTGCAATCCCAAAGGGGACTTGGTTTGAATTCACTAGTGACTCCAAAGGAGAAAGACAGACGCTCTTCATCTGTTTAATTAACTGCCTCTGAAAACCTGCTGGAGGACCAGCTGTGGGTTGGCTCCATCTCAACAATACACAACGACAACAACATCAACATCAGAGCAATCCTCTGAGAGAACAAATATCTCTCTTTTGCTGAAGAATCTCCTATTGAACATAACTGCTGAACTCCATGTAAAATTCAACTATTTCATCCCTGTGCAAGCTTCCCAGGTCCCTTGCTAAGTGAAATGATGTAGGACAAAGTGAAAGCTATGGCCTGGTGTGGTTGCACAGCACTTTTGGAGGACACAGGAGTTCATGGCTGAGTTGATTAAGTTCAAAACTATCTCTGTATATTCAGTCTTAGTTGCCTTCCTTTTAAGGTCTCTGTGCATGAGATGATTCTTTTCCCCCTTTTTAATATAAAAATAGAATATGTTTTCTATTCAGAATCATGCAATATACTGTTTCACTCTTCAGAGATTTTTTTTTTTTTTCATTATGAGCAGAGAGCTCTGGTGGCCTGGTGATAAGGAGTTGTACTACCAATTCAAAGGCAGGCAGCTCGAATCCACCAGCTGCTCCATAGGAGAAAGATGGACAATCCCATCCCATGAGATTATACTGCCACTTAAAAGGCACTGGAGAGTCAGCTATGCGTGAAGTCAGTTCAGAGCAAGCTGTTAGGTTGCCACAGTCAGCATGGATCATCTGCTCGTCATGTGGCTGGGCTCTTGTCAACTCATGTCCACAATCTCTGCTACATCCAAACGTGCATCAGCTGCAAACACCAGAGTTCACCCTTCTGTTTTGAGATTGCTGTACAGGGTGGTGCGCATGTTGATTTGTGACTGACTGTTAACTGCCTGCTTAGTGGGGCGTATGCTATGCAGAGGCACCTTGGAAGAAAGGGCTGGTGATCAACTTCTAAAAGTCTGTTGTGGAAGGGGAGAATTTAGGAGGCATTGGTTTTATGTTAATGATCGTGTGATAATTTGGAAAAGAATGGCTGTAATGGTTACACTTCAGGAAGAAAGTAATCATTGACACTGAATTATGCATAAACATTACTGAAATAGTGAATATTTTCCTGTACAGTTTTTCACCATCATCAAAACAAAGAAAATCCTGTGGAGCGCAGGTCTTCTCTGACACATGGGTCAGAGGAGTCTCAGCTGACTTCACAGTAACTGGTTTTGCATATCCATGTTTCTAAAGTACCTAGGGTCTTCAGATGAATTAATCATTGTAATGTATTTTTTCAAAATTGTGTTAAACATAATAATGAAAAGCTTTAAGCTATTTAGATATTTCCTATAGAGGAATTCCTTGCCACTTATTTTTATATTATACAGGCCTTAATGATTTTTGGTGGGTTTTAAAAAATGGTTTCTGTCAGGAGAAATTAAAGAATATTAGTCTCTTTCTTCTGTGCTCTTGACTCATACTTCTCTCTTGGGAGCCAAATATTAACATCTGTTTCAATAACAATTTTTCTTTTTCCTTGCAAGAATATTTACTTGTTATTTTGGGTTATTTGGGTTAATTTGAATTGTATAACGTTAAGAACATTGCAATGTGTGTTTTAGAAAAGTAAAGCCCATCAACAGAATTGCTTGGAAATGGAAACAACAGTGACAGTGTGGCAGAAAAAAACCTGGCAGAGATTAAATGTGGAACAAACAGTAGCCTTGATGCATATATTTTGAAAATATATCCATGTTATCTATGTAGCTTTTGGATAAGCAACATGGTATTTTGCCTTAGTTATGAACTCATTTTAAAATGATCTTTTCCAGTGTCCTGGGACCAGCGGTGACCTTCAGAGTGAGCTCCAATATCCAAAACGTGACAACTGCAGATGTTGCTAAGGCAGCAGGTAAGGCGGCTTACACACACACACACACACACACACACACACACACACACACACACCCCAGTCCGAGGAGAGAAGGGTAAGCTGTACAAAACAACCCTGCAGAAAGTACATACACAGTTTCCCCTGGCAGATTGGTATTTAATGAAGGAGACAGCAAAGGGTTAGTGGCAGGGAGGGCAAATTGAAGTGTACTGTCCCAGAGTCAATTAACACTGGCTGAGACTTCATTGTTTGGAGAGAGACTGGATTAAAGTGAAATGTAGACATGGCTTCACATTGAAGACAGGAGACCACAGTGCTATATGTGAGAGATAAAAAGACTAGCTTTTGAAAATGTGAGGATTTGGTGTCTGAAGTAACCCCTGTGTGAACATAGCAAACACAATTTTGCTTTGAGGTTTTCATGTGGTGCTGCATGAGAAGCACAAACTGATTGTATTTTTATCCAACGCAGACCTAGGCTCAGGATCTGGAAGGCTTCAATTAACATTTAGATCATCAGTTACTGCTCATTTCCAATCCTACATTTTGACATCTATTGACTGACAGAGCTTCAGGATCTTTGCTTTATAATTGGTGTTTGTCATTAAGTGAAAAACAGCAAAATCTTTACTGACTAAAACTCTTCAGAAGAAAATGAGATGGAGGATACCATTTCCCCCTTTTCCTGTATCTTAACCGTCTTTTTTGGGGGGGGTGGGGGGGTGGGGGAGTGCTTACTGAAATTGCTTGTAAAATGTATTATATGGATTTTCCTACCTGGTAAACAAAATATATAAACTTTATAAACCTATAGCGACTATGTCCTTAGTTTGGTGGTTTTCAGTGCTTTGGGATTATTATATGGTTAGGATTCTAGGATATTTTAGCATCATAGTATGAGGTTAGATGGAATATGCATTGATCTCCTTCACAGCAGAAAAGATTGTTTTAGCAACTCCTTTATATGAATTTTCTCAATTTACAGAGATGTTGTTCTTTTGTCTGATATAAAAGACACTCACTGTTTTGAGGATTTAAATCTTCGATATTCATTAATTAAGGTTTCACTGTATTGACATCATACAAAGTTCAGTGGTGGTCAGTAAGGTGACAAATAACTGTGATGCTTCATAATGGGATGACCTTGGTCTCATCTGTTTTGATTATTACTTGTGAGATACTTCTGTAATGCTAGCAACTCTCCCTTGCTGAAGGGAACGATTTTGGGAACTAGAATTTTGGGGTAGGAAAAAAAAGAGTTCCTTGAAAAGTTGTACTACATTCTAGAGAGCCTACAGGTTTCATCTTTTTAGAGACCTGAATTCCCAGGTTTAATTTTGTTGTCGTATTTCGTTGTAAGACATAAAGCACCTGAGATGCTACTTAGCAAAGTTGTGAAAGTACATTATTTCACCTGAGCAGTACAGTATGGTCCAAAAGATTGCATGAAATAAATAAAACCAAAACAGAAAACCAAAAACAAAACAGCAAGCTAGCAGGTTTTATTTGACATTCACTACCACTTGGAGAAAATTGGAATTTTGGAATTGGCTTGGCCCCTTGGTGGGCTCCATAGTCTCTTATTTCTATTGACAGTATCTAGTTTTCTGATGCTGGCTTCTTAACAAGTGGTTTTTTGGGGCATATTTAAGACCAAATCAATTTTCAGTTTGTATTTCTGAGAGATTGGGCTGAATGTACTTGACCCTTGGACACAAAAGAAAATGACATTAAATCCTTTCTGTGTACTACTTTTAAACTGAAATGTAAATCATTTTCCCCAAAATCAAATGTAGCAAAATGTTCTGCTTTATACAAATGGTCATTTATCCAGTACCGGGAAGCATTAGTTTTGAAATTAGATTTGCTCGAATTGGAAGATGTCGGAATAGAATGTAGGCTTTTGGTTTTAATTATTTTGTATTGGCTTGCTTATAAAGTTCATCAACATTTTTCCACACTATTCTTCATTTTTTATTGTTTTAATCTTCATTTTTAAAAATATTTTTCCTTTCTATAAGACTGACAAAAGCTTTCCTTTTACTATATTTGCTTTGTAAACAAACCAGTGTTGATTATTTGAAATTTATTTTCATAGTCATTTTAAATATATTCATGTCCTATATTACAAGGGAAAATGACATAGGAAATGAATAACATTTGAGGCTTATATCAACAAGTTGCTAATTACCTTAATGTGCTGAATTTATACCAGTACATTTATATTAACTTAATACTATTCAAGATAGACTTCTTTGTGCCTACTCTGTTCTTCCTTGTTGTATATATGTGCAAATTTGATCATACACATTTTTCATTTGAAAATACAAATGAGTTAATTAAATTTCCTAAAGAATTTTGAATTTACTTGGTGGTATGTAAGAAAAAAATTCTGAAAAGCAAGTTTGTAAGAAGAAGAATTTTATAGTCTATCAATACAAATACCAAAGTGTGGTGAACCAAATCTGCCTTAGGATAGGTTTGTTTTTGTTTTTGTTCTTTTTAAACACAGAGGAAAAGAATTCTTCAGACTGGCCATGCCTATGTGAGAAGTGAGCATTCTTAGTATGTTAAAACACTGGATGTTGGACTTAAATGGAATTTTTTGTGTGATTTCTAGTTTCATAAAAGGAATCTTAGTAGTGTGTGTCTTGGTTTCTTAGTGTTGCTCTAAGAGAAATACCACAAAGTAGGAGCTTTACTGAATGTAGATTTCTTTCCTCTCAATTTAGTAGGCTACAAGTCTGAATTCACAGCATCGGCCTTCGGGGAAGGCTCTGATCTTTTTTTGTGGGGTTAGAGCATGAGTCTTTGCTTCTACTTCTCTAGCATCATTTCTTCCAGAAATTCCTTAGAGATCTCCCCATGGCATCTGATTTCCCCATTTGTGCTTATTCTTTGTGCCTATGCTGTTCCTACAACACATAAAGTAGGTTTAAAGCAGACCTGACACTGATAGAGCCTTATTAACACGATGAAGCAATCCCTAGTCCCAAATGGAATTTCATTCATAGGGGTTAAAATTCACAACATATATTTTGGGAGACACATTTAATTGCTAATAGTTTAATTGCATATGTCTTACTGTCTTTGGTGGGAGAAACACATTTATTTAATTTAAAATATTTGAGTGAATATTTACAATTAATATTGATTTTTTAAAAAAATATAACAATTATTAGAGTTTTGTTTTATATCATTAATTACTTTTGATTAATGTCATTAATTCATTACAAATCTAATCAACCCTTTGGGACAAGCACATTTTGGATGGTCAATAGAGGTCTTCCCAATGTATGCTATCAGTACACATCCATAATATCAGGTCTGCTAATGGACATTTTGACATGATATTTGCTATTTTGTGCTGGCTCCCCATACAGCCGGCTGCTTGAGTTTGATTACCTCAAGGACTTTGCTGCCAACCTATGGATATCTGTTGTTATTTTTAATGAAGGTAGATGTAACCCTGATGATAGAATTAAAAGTGAATTTATTTTGTTACTTTTACACAAAATGGAACAAAACTTAATGAAGAGGTGTGTACTTAATGCCACATTAGTCCCCATCAAATACTATGTGGTATTTGTGATGAATGATAAATGCAGCTGGTTTTCATTATTCAGAAACACCTTTTCCTACTAGGTGATTCTTTTCTGGGAATTCTGCCTAATTTATGAACCTGAGGCTGAGCATAAGGTATTAGTGAATATTCAAAGTAAGTCAGCAGTTCTCAAACATTTATTGGATTGCAACTGTGTAGAGAAATAATGGCTGCACTGGTGGGTTTTTCTGCTCTTTATCATCAACTTGAATTTAGTGTAACAGAAAATTCCTTTTATAAACTTCACTTCACTGTAGTTTTTAAATAGCGTATTTTGAAAGATTTCTCTTTTAAAGAAAGTACGTTTGTTATCTTTTTAGGGGGGGAATCAACTGCTTACTTTTGCTTCCCTCCGCCACTTTGCTTTTTGTGTTGCCATTGATTTATAGTCAATATTTCCCTTGCATGCTTCATTTCCATGCCAACCCAGAGATCAGGCTCTTTGGAGACCTTTTCCCCTCACCTCACACAGGAGAGGTAGCATTTTCAGTGCTTAGTATCTATTTTATGGCAGAATAGCTTGTTTGTGCTGCGAACAAAACGATGGACTATTTAAATACTCTAGGAATTCCCCTGAGGAGCTCAGGGAGCATAGTGAGCAGTACTGTGCTGCTAATCCAAGGGTCAGATGCCTCCAATGGTTTGAATCCACAGTTCACTCTATGGGAGAAAGATGGACAGCCTACCCACCTGCAGTAATATTTGCACCGTTGAAGCCTGAAGACCTATGGCTATGAGTCAGAACTCGGTGGTAGTGAGTTTGAGGTGGTTTTTTTGGTTGGTTTGTTTTGAGAGGTCCCTTAAAGAACGACCTGGTGATCTACTTCTGAAAAGTCAGCCACTGAAAAACTAAGGAGCATAATTCTTTTCTGACGAGTCCCCCTGATTCCCAGTTAGCCCAATGACAACTGTTAGTTGGTTTGTTTCTTGATTAATTTAGTTACTTTTCTGTATGTGACATGGCCTGTCCTTATTCCGCTCCCTTCTTTTGACCTTAGTCTAGTTCCTTTCTAAGTCTAGGCTCTAATATTTGACATTTGGCTATTCCTATTCCTATTGACAATTGGGGGGATGTCTTAAGTAATGCACTTCTTCTTCAAATAATACAATTATTTCTTAAAATTATTGTATACAAGTATTCCAACTCTAGTGTCTTACTTTTTCCCATTGAGTAAGGCTCTAAGCCAGAGATTCTCATGTTGGTTTGACAGAAAGATGCCTGTACCAATGTCAGTCTGTGCAAATGTGTTTGGGGAATCCTTGCCTGAACTTTCTCAGCTCCTCTTCCTTTGTTTCATTATTGACCCTTTCTTCCTAGATTCTAAAGCTATGCTACTGTACAGAATTGAGAATCACTGGGGGAAACAATGTTTCCGTTGAGATAAAAAGTCTATTTATTCTTACAAAAAATGTC